AGAAAAGAAACAGAACAAGAGAAAGATAAATGTGATAAGGGGGGGGGGTATATTTGAGAGGATGTCCACCTATTCTCTTGGCACATCTTCCCATTTAATTGAGACGCGCTCCCGAGCGTCTATATAGCATAAAGTATATGAAAACAGAATGAGAAAGAGCACACTGTACATATTTCAGGGACAAAATGAACGCGAGAGCAAAAAAAAAAAAAAACTTAACATAAAATAAAATAAAATAAAGTAAAATAAAAAGGAAAGGAAAGAAAAGAAAACGCGAGCACATATGAAGCAAAAAAAATCATAAGTATACTGATGCGTGTGGAGATGAATGAAAAAGAAATGGATATATATGAATATAGTAAGAAAAAGTACATGTTGCGACAAATTAATGTTCAATTACTCACTAACGTTATCACAGAAATTATCAGATAGTCGTGGATTTAAGTGATGAAACTGTCATCCAATCCAATCATCCTTGTCTTTGATAGTTGTCCTCATCAACGTTTGTCTTGTTAATACTCTCTTTTGTTTGTCGAGCCATCCCATTATGTAAAATTTTTCGGGATGAATTTATCCTTGCCTTTGATGAATGTCCTTATGAAAGTTTGTATATAATACTTTTATTCTTCTGTTCAACTGTCGTCCTTATCAACGTTTGAATATAATAATTTTATCCTTCTGTTCAATTGTCGCCCTTATCAATGTTTGTATATAATACTTTTATCCTTGCCTTTAATCGTCGTCCTTATGTTAATTTCTTCTGAATAAATTTATCCTTATCGTTGATGTGTGCAGTTGAATTTTGTTTAATTAATATATTTCAGTTTGTAAAACTTCATATTCATTCGTAATAGTATATTGTAACTCGTGCAACTTCATAAGAATTCATCATATATAAAAATCATAATATTTATAATATTTATACCATATATATTCTTTTTTAATGAATCATCGGATTTAATAGAGATTCATAAGGATTTTTATAGAAATAGCTAAAGTTCCTATAAATTCATAATAATATATGTTCGAGCACCACCACTTATGTTTAGCAAAACGTGTATCGATAAATTCAAAACAAATATCCGTACCAATCCAAGGGCCTAAAATCCGAATAATGAGCTTGAAATTAAATGTATTTTAAACTATCGCATAGATTAAAAGTGATTCCAGATCCCGAAGTATTTTAATTGTTTTAACATATGGTAAATATTTTGTAAAACGTTCTTTTGAAATTGATAATAGATCATGTAACCCAGGTTTCCGGTTCGTATGATGCCGACCAAACCTTAATTTCGGCTTGCATCGTATATTTGTTATTTCTGGTGGTTCTAAGTGAGTTTGTTGCTGCTCGTTATCCAATGGAAGAGCACATAAAAGTTGTGATGATGTTTCCGTATTTTGAGAACTTTTTTCAGCGGATGTAAGTTGATGTACATCTAGTTCTATAATTTTGTGCGATTGAAGATTGTGTACTTCATCGATTTGAGGTACTATCTCGTTTGATGAAATAACTGTTTGAAAATCCGAGATACTCTCAGGAACTTCTGGTTGAATTTCATCAGATATGTTTTCAACCAATCTGGGCGAATGTGAAAAGTTCTTATGATTAAAAATTCGTTGTGGTCTGATTTCGTGAATATACCATGATTCAGTTCCAATGGGCCAAAACGAATCTAGACTGCGGTCTTCATCTATCTCGATTGTAGATGTCAATTGTTCAGCAATTGAATCTTCTTGTTCGATTGTGACTAATTGTATCGATTTTTCGGTTTCTCGTTGAACTTCAATCGGTCTCTGAATGAACGGTTGTTTCAGTTGCTTTAGAAGTTCTTCCAGGCCGATTTGTGCAGGTGTTTGTTTGCAATAATTTGTGGTTGGATACAATCGATCAGTATTCTTTTTATTAAATGTTGTTTGTTGATGAGCAGCTATTGTATCTTTATATTGCGATTGGTTAACACCCAAAATACCAATTTGAGTTGAGGCTTGATTTAAGTCCTTCAGTCGACGTTCTCCTTTTTGACGATGATATACAATTTGGTCAACTTCTTGAGCTTCCTTAATAATTCTATCTAATGTTGCACCACGAGGTAGTGAAGTCATCATATCTAGTGACTTATTATTCATTCTACGGAATAAATGTTTGATCAGATCAACTTCAGTTTCCTTTGGTTTATGTTCGGTCCATAATGCTCGTAAGCGTATAATAAATTCATAAATTGTTTCCTCTGCTCCTTGTTTGCATTCATACCATTCTTGTTCTTGACGGTTGCTTCGAATTGGTGAAATAACTGCCGAATTTGACATTTGACTTAATTTCTCCATTATCCATTTTATGTTAGTGTTCATATCGTTCCATAGGTGTTTACTATCTGCGAACTTGCTCGTAGCTTCCGAAACGGAAGATACAAAGTCTTTTGACATTGTAAAACTATATAATTGTTTAAAACTAGTAAATAGTAGGCCAGTAGATCCAGTCAGTTTTAATTTTGTATAAATTAAACTTGAAACTTCGATCCTGGTGTGATCGCCAAATGTAACGAAAAATAAAGATCTCTATTGCTACTTTATTTATTCATCAC